TTAACATCTTCATTTCTGCCGTGTGACGCGTCCCGAGGGGACACGGAGGCCGGGAGGTGCCGGGGTTAGAGCCCGGCCCGGGCAGGGAGCGCCCAGGGCTGAGCAGCCCCCGAGAAACGGGGGGACACGGGGCCCCAAAACCCCAAAACCCCAAAACCCCGCCCGGCCCCCGGACCCTTTATCCGCCTCCTCCCCCTTGGGCCGCGCCGCTTTCCGGCCGCGTTCCCCAATTCGGGGCGGGCTGGGGGCAATGAAATGGGGTTTGGTGGGGTTTAGTGGGGTTCAGTGGGGTTCAGTGGGGTTTGGTGGGGTTTGATGGGGTTCAGTGGGGTTCAGTGGGGTTTAGTGGGGTTCAGTGGGGTTCAGTGGGGTTCGGTGGGGTTCAGTGGGGTTCAGTGGGGTTTGGTGGGGTTCAGTGGGGTTCAGTGGGGTTTGGTGGGGTTTGGTGGGGTTTGGTGGGGTTCGGTGGGGTTCAGTGGGGTTCAGTGGGGTTCAGTGGGGTTTGATGGGGTTCAGTGGGGTTTGGTGGGGTTCAGTGGGGTTCAGTGGGGTCCAATGGAGTTTAATGGTGTTCAATGGGGTTTAATGGGGTTCAATGGGGTCCAATGGGGTTCAATGGGGTTCAATGGGGTTCAGTGGGGTTCAATGGGGTTTAGTGGGGTTCAGTGGGGTTCAATGGGGTTCAATGGGGTCCAATGGGGTTCAATGGGGTTCAATGGGGTCCAATGGGGTTCAGTGGGGTTCAGTGGGGTTCAATGGGGTTCAATGGGGTTCAATGGGGTTCAGTGGGGTTCAATGGGGTCCAATGGGGTTCAGTGGGGTTCAATGGGGTTTAGTGGGGTTCAATGGGGTCCAATGGGGTTCAGTGGGGTTCAGTGGGGTTCAATGGGGTCCAATGGGGTTCAGTGGGGTTCAGTGGGGTTCAGTGGGGTTCAATGGGGTTTAGTGGGGTTCAGTGGGGTCCAATGGGGTCCAATGGGGTTCAATGGGGTCCAATGGGGTCCAATGGGGTTCAGTGGGGTTCAATGGGGTTCAATGGGGTCCAATGGGGTTCAGTGGGGTTCAATGGGGTCCAATGGGGTTCAGTGGGGTTCAGTGGGGTTTAGGGATCACAGGTGGGCAGGGACGAGTGGGGACAGCCACCAGCGCTTTGTCCCTGCTCCCAGCCCGCCTCAGCCGCGATATCGGCACCAACAACCCGTCCCACACCATCAGAATCCAAAGCTTTTAAGCTGTTTTATTTTAAAAGGGTTTTTTGGTGTTTTTTTTTTTTTTTAAAGGATCAAGATTAAATATATAGGCCACGGCCGGAGAGGAATCTCAGGGACTCTGCACACAAAGCCCGAAGGAGGAAAATCCCGGGTCTGCATCCAGAGCTTGTTGAAAGGCTCTCACTCGCCCAGTGCAACCTGGAAAACCCGAATTATCCCGAGCTGGGGAGGCTACAGGGGAGGGATGGCAGGAGAGGAGGGCGCAGGAATTGCAATTCCCGCTGCAGGGGGATAAACGCAGCGGGATCAAAGCTGCCGAACCGGGATTCGCCGCTCCCGGCGCGCGTTCCCTCGGCGTCTCCCGCGGACCTGGATGAAATGGATGGAAAAGAGCTGCAAAAATGTGGGCCGGGCTGGAGAAAAGCGGCTTAGAGGGAGCAAAGCCCCGGGCAGGGAGGCCGCGATCAGCAGCGCTCCCCAGCCTGCCATGCCAGCGCCCCGTTTCCCAGACCCCCAAACCTCGATATTGAATTTATATTTATATTTATATTTATATTGATTTTATATTTATATTTATATTTATATTTATATTTATATTTATATTTATATTTATATTTATATTTATATTTATATTTATATTTATATTTATATTAGGATTCGGGGCCTTCTCCACCTCTCGCTGCCCGGAGTTCCAGCCGGGAATTTTCCAGGCTCCTCCCGGGAATTTCCAGCTGCAGGGGTGGGAAGCCGAGGCGGGCACAGCTGGCCACAGCTGGCCGCAGCTGCGGAGCCGCAGGGGGGTGGCGGGGGGTGGCCGTGTCCCCATCCTGTCCCCTTTGTGCGGCTTCCACCGCCACTAAAAGGGTGTAAAAACCCCGCGGGCCGGGAAATGGCCCTGGGCACATCCCAGGGCGGCTTGAGGTGGGGATAAAACCAAACCAAACAAACCAAAGCCGAACCCGGCCCTGCGGAGGAAGAATTCCGGTGCAGGAATGGAGCTTCCCCAGGGCTCCCGAGCTTTGGGAGCCGGGGAGGGAAGGAGGAGAGAAGAGCGGCGGGGCCGGGAGGGATGCGCGGGGCTCCGAGCGCAGGAATTCTCCCGAGTTATCCCCTGGAATTCCCTCCGGAGAGCAGCACAGCCAGCGAGAGCTGCTCCCAGCCTGGCAGTTGCATCACGCTCTGCTGAAATCCTCCTGAACTGACTTTTTATTTTTTTTTTCTTCCCAGTGTAATTATGTAATGAATGCGTTCAGAGCAGCTGCTGAAGGAGGGACATGATTTTAAAAATTTTTATTATCATTATGACTTATTTCCTCCCGGGATTTTTACAGCCTCCCTTATTCTCAGGGAGATTGCACAAGGGGCTGTTGTTCTGCCGTTTATTGCTCTCAGAAGGAAACCGAGCCCCCGAACCTTCGCAAGGACGCTCAAAAAAGCCCTTTAATAACATTTATTCCTCCCCAGGGACACAACCTGCCGCCTTTTTCCAGAGGAACGGGCCCCACTTTGCTGCCACCGCGACTCCTCCAGAAAAACAACACCTCCCACGCAGCAGAAATCGTCATTCCGGCCGGAATTGCTGTTCCCGTGCTCGCGTGCGCCTCGGGCAGGGCGAGGAGAAGCTCCGGGAAGAAATGAATCCTCCGGAGCTTTGATGGCTGCGGGAGGACCGGGCCGCTTCCTTTCCTTTCCTTTCCTTTCCTTTCCTTTCCTTTCCTTTCCTTTCCTTTCCTTTCCTTTCCTTTCCTTTCCTTTCCTTTCCTTTCCTTTCCT